AGCACCATAACCAACCGCCTCAGCAGTTTGTTCAAGCTCCTCCGCAGTCCACTCTTTGTCCTTACCTAACCAGAATAAGAAAGCAAGATGTTACATAATTACACCTCTTACCATGATGACTTCAAATTGACAGGAACCATGAATATTCAACCAATAATTGCAAAAGATAGACATAACAATTAAATCTTTTCATGAACTAAAAGACGGATCATCTAATGCAATACCACGCTCAATAAGTGCCGCTTTACTACGAGTCTTGGCTTCATCAAGTAAATCAACTAATCGAACCACTTCTGTGTTCCTTGTTCGAAAGCGCTTGCCATCCTCTCCCAATACAAGACCAAAACCAACATGGCTAGTTTTAGGATACGTGCTACCATTATCAGGGAGCCAACCAGCACGTTTGGCAGCCTGAAACAGACAATATTAAATTCTTTTCCATATCAAATACTAGAAAACTAAATGAAGTAGAATGTCAAACTCAACTAACACAGCATGACAGAGACAGAACATGGCTCTGGATACTTACTTTGAATACCATATCAAAATGCTGCTGCTGGCCGACATCAGTAACATATATAATCCAATCAGCTGTCTCTTCATTAAGGCGATACCTAAATATTTCAAGTATTACAATCATAAGAAATAATGTTTAAAAACAAGTATAATAAAAGTCATACTGACATAAATAGAGCAAGCTAATTCAAAAAACAAGTATGGAAACGGTTTTATGTTTAAGAAGCCAGTGATCTTGTGTTTGATTCTTACCATCAAAGTAAAAAACATGTGTTAAGTGATGCAGAATGCATTAGTTTTGAATTTCCTAAAACGATTAAAAATTATAATTCTTTTAAAAATAAAACTATAGCACTGTTTAGAAGCCTGCCATTATAGTTTGTGTAACTTTAGAATTTTATTTTCTTCAAGTTATTAGTTTTCCTACTCTTATTAATATTAGTAATTTTTAGTTTAAAAATATTTTTTGGAAAGGTTACATGGGAACATTATAAATATCTTTGTAATCCTAAGGGAAGGTTTCTTGAGAGTTTTCTCAAATTTTCTGGTTTTTTGATGCTTAAGAATTTTTGAGGAAACACTATAAAGACGTTCCTAATCTCACTTTTGAGGGAAAGGTTCACTTGTTTAATTAAGAGTTCTTGAGAATTTTCTCATCTTTTTGGTGGTGTGATGCATCAACTTTAATTGTGAAGTTTAAGAATTTTAGGTAATGTTTAAGAAACA